TAATAGTTGCACAATACATATTCTGATTTTTCCTACTTTTTGACCATTCTCAGGTCATTTATATACATTTTTACTTTATAACTATTATATCTGATATATCACTTATACTTGATATACCATTTATATCTGATATACTTATTCTTATAATTTTCTATTATCTACCCATCATTTTTTTCTACAACAATATATATTAATAAATAATTGTAATACTATTTATATTAGTACTTTTAAATAATAATAAATCAAATTTATTAGTAAAATAAGCTATTATTATTAACAAAATAACAAAAATCATTTTTATTAAGAAAATAAAAAAATATATTAGATGCAAAAATAAGATAAACAGATACTAAAAAATACAATAATAGCTTATAAAAAACCTAATTAAAACCAAATAAATTTTTAGTCAAAAAATAATAAACTATAATTTTACAATAATTAATAACTATACTGAATTAAATAATTATATTAACAAATTTTTTAAATTTAAGTGATAAAATTTAAAACTTTCAATTAAATATAAGTATATAAAAGAATAGTAGAAACTATATAAATAACAAATATATTAATTATAATTAAATCAAACTAACATTTAATATATAAAATATAAGCAAATAAAAAAAATATTTTAAAACTTTTCAATAAATACAAAGAGCATTCAAAAGTTATTGGACAAACTTTAAAAATTTATATTCAGCTGTATATATAGAATTAAAAAAATATATTTTTTTTTATTTTTTTTTTTAATATTAAATATTTTATTAAAAAAAAAAAAAAATTTATGCAATAATTATTGAAATATTAAAAATTTTAAAAAAGTTTAAAAAATTACTCAAATTGAAAATGAAGATCACTTGAGAAATCAAATTAAAGTAATTTATTTAACTTTTTTTTTATACAATTCAGTATTTAGTAGGACCTCCTTTAGCTGCGATGCATGCTTTTACATGTTGTGGCATGCTGTCTATTATCTGTTAACAAAGTTGACATGGTATATTTTTCAGGCTTGCAAAACAAGACAATCAAGTTCCGCAAGATCGCTTGGTTTCGTTTTACATCGCCATACTGAATTTTTTACCTTGTGCAAAAGTTCTTTATTGGATTCAAATCAGGACTTTGTGTGGGCCAGTCCAAAACTCGAATCCCACAGTCAACAAAAAAATTATTAGTGATTTTTGCCATATGTGATCTTGCATTATCTTGCATAAAGTACAGGTGACCACAATTATCAATAAAAAACAAACAATCAAAAATTGGAATAAGGTGTTCTTGAAGTGTATTAATATATGAAAACACCTTTACAGAGCTGTCAAGAGGAATAAGGAAACTAACACTGTACCAAGAAAAATAACCTAGTACATTCGACTTGGACTATACTTAATGATGCTGGTTAAACATTCAATTTTCTATTCTTCTTGTGGCTTGCGCCATACCCGACAGCAGAATCCCTGTTGAAAAAGGGATACTGTGGACTTGTCAGACCAAAGCACACGTCGAAAATGCTGAGTGGTCCAGTTTTTATATGCCAAACACCAATTGAACGGGTTTTCTAAATTGACTTTGGAAATGAATGGCTTCGAGTGAGCGACACGACATCTCAAATTCAATTTATAGAAAGCATGACGAACTGTATTCATGGAAACATTAATCTTTATCCGATTTGTGAAAACATTAGTAAATTAAGAAGCACATAAACGACGTTTTTTTTTAGTGATTTTTTTTAGAATGGCTTGGAAAGAAGAATTAATGAGTAGTGGGCAGCCAGTTTTTACACCTTGTGGTTTAGCAGAGCTGGTTTCTAAAAATCTTTTAATAGTAATACCAACAGCTGATTTCAAACAGCTGACTTGTTTTGACCTATCACAGTATGGTGTTTTTTTTTTATAGTGGCAAATAATTGTGTCCCTTTGTACTGATGTTAATTGAATTTTTTTGTCCATCATCTTTAAAAGAATGATTCTTGTTTTGTGAGTTTATTATTTATGTAATAAAGTTATTTATATAAAATGACATATTATTTATATGACAAATAATTTAATATAAATAAATAATTTAATTTAAATAAATTAATTTAAAAAAAAAAAATTAAAAATCAAAAATACTTTTCAGTTTGGCAAAAATATTCAATTTTTTTAAAAACTTTAATATTTAAATAACCACTGCATAAAAAAAAAATTTTTTTTAATAAAACATTTAATATTCAAAAAAAAATAAAATAAAATAATTTTTTTTTAATTTTGTATATATAGCTAGATATAAATTTTTAAGGTTTGTCCAATGACTTTTGAGTACCTTCTGTATAAATAAGAAAAATTAATAGCAAATCAATAAGAAATCTAAATATCTTTTTTTATAAGAGCTAAAGTATTATATAAGCAAAATTTTTATTATAAATCAATAAAAATCATAAATATCTATTATATAAACAATCTATTAATTATTACTAATATTAATTAATAACTTACTCTTTTGTTATCAAAATATTAACTTATACTTTGTGAACAGATCCATATTTTAGTTTATGTTATGTCTTTTTATATATAAATATAGAGTAGGAAAAATTTTGCTTAATAGTTGAAAAACCTTTCCAGCAGTCTTTTTTTTGACTTAAGACTTTACTTTTATAAAAATAGATTATTAATCCAGATTGCATCAATATCAAGTAGAACAGTAGAAAACTAATTAGATTTTGAAGTTTGTCAATTCAATCTTAAGTATTAAATAATTGAATATGACATATTCTAAAAGCTAGCCAATTTGAATAAAAAGAGTAATATTATAGAGTCTGCTATATCAGTTGGTATATAGGTTTTTACAAAAGTTAAATTAGAATTCTTGCCTTATATAATCTTTTCTGTTTCAATTTGTTTTTAGACTGTAATCATTAAAAAAATCAGAGGTTCCATTTTTATATAGTCTAATTGAATTTAGATATAAGCTGAATATTTAAATATAACATATTGTTGGGCCAGAAAATGGCGAGTCAGTCGCTTCACCGGTTCAAAGTTCGTGTTACTAAAGATAAGTTGAGATGTGTATGATTGATTTAGCCGGGCAGTACTAATTAACTTCTCTTCTTTTCTTTTCCGGCATTCGTTTCTTTTTTGATACCCCAGGCTATGTCCTTCTAGCGGCGGTTATCCTTCCTAAAATGGTGTGTACTCGAAAAGGTAAGTTGTTAATTATTACTTTCTCTTTATGGCAACTCAAAATAACTATCGTTTCTCTTTTAATCCCTTTTTATCAATTTACTTTGTACAGGTTTGTGTGGGTGTCTTCTTTCTTTTTACACTGCTGCTATTTATTTACTCACCGCTTATTAATTATTAATCCCACAGCTATACTATTGATGCATAAATTGATGAGGCTAAACTATCGGGGCTAAAATAAACTATGGGTAAGTTACATAAGCCTCTATGACTACATTCCCTATGTTAATTACTAATGCTATCCTAAATTTCCAGGGTACGCGACATGATAGTTACAGTACGTGACTATACCATGTGACTTTTACCAGGCTAACAATATACAGTCAATGCTAGTTATAGTAACCAAATCAGAGGAAGCCTAATTTTATAATTTTATATTACCATATCCAATTGTTATTATATCCAATGTTATAATACTATAACATACTATTTAAAAGAATTTTTTGTTTTAAAAAATTATGTTATTATATTCTATTTTTATTATAATGTTACTCTAAATAATATTACTGTAACCAGTTTTGACAGTATAGAAAAACTGATAAATCTAATATAAAAAATAATTTTATACAATTAGCTTCTTGTGAATATTGAACTAGAAATATATTTTTGGAAATCTAGAAATACTATTTATTATGCTATTGATTAACAGGCCTGAAACTTAAAATATACACTAGTTGAAATCTAATTATTCAGCAGTATGCCACTCATTAATTATTTGATATATGATAAATAATTCATTAAGCATTTGTCAAACATTCATCAACAATTTAACAATCATTGCAAAATTGAAATATGCTGAATTATAGCTAAATGTTTTACAAATGCTTGATGAATTATTTATCATATGCTAAATAATTGACAAGTGGCATACTGCCAAATAATCAGATTTCAACTAATGATACTTAAATACAATTTTCAAAAACTATAAAAAATGAATAAATAAGACAAAAAATTTTATCACAAGAAAAACATTGATACATAACATCATAAACCAATTAAAAGATCATTGTTATCTGAATATTACAAATAGAAAATAAAGAATATTCTTTAAAATAAATCAAATATAAGATGTAAATCCTTTAGCCAATAAAAAAGAATCCAATATTTTTAAAAAAGACAATAAAAATATACACAAAAACATTTAACCCTGATATAAATATAGTTTTCAATTATTTCAGCCAATTATAAATAAACTAAAATATAATATACACTTTTAAATCAATTTTTTTATGGAACAAGTAAAGCTTTGGCAAATTAGCTAAGTATATACCAGTACTAGACAATAAGCTACACAGTAGAATTTCGTTGAGTAAGTTTATTCAGGAATATAAAAAGATAAATTTGTATAAATTAATTGTACATACTTATCCAAAATACCTAATAAACAAAGGTGTGAATTACACAATTTAAAAAAAGATTTTTTTTAAATTTTAACTATGTGATAACTTACTGTCTCTTATATACTGTATAGCTTTGGTTTTGTAAATTTAACAAAAATTTTATTTTTATTTTATAATATATATATTCATTTTAACAAACACATTAATTGAAATTAGATAACTATGTAAAGTGGATATATATGTAAATGTGTGTAATTATTTATGAAAAATTAAAACTTAAATTGACAAATTATTGTTCTGAAATCTTGATCTCAGTCTAAATTATAATATATGTTTAAAAAATATTATCTTATTAATTTTAACAACTCTCAGACTTACACGTTTTGTGTTGCATGAGAATAACAAAAATTAGTTGTTAATGGCAATATTGTAATTATAAGATATTTTTGGATCAATTTATGGGTGCATCACTTATTGCAATATTCATTCTCTCTCTTCTAAAGTTCTCATCAATTATTCTCCTAAGTCTGTCCTTATTATAAATTAGGATCACGAGGGAAGCAATTATTATAATTACACAGATAATAACCGAGACTATTGTTAAGCCTAACGATGGGGTTGGTGTTATTGGTACCCACGTAGAAGCGCTTATGTCAAATAAGTACATCTTGTTATAAGACTTTGTTGATGATATAACCCGATTTGTAGTTTGACCTGAAGACATACAATCCTTAATTATTAGCTTAAATAAATGCACAGTGTGAGTATAAAATATGATATTAGAAAATTACCAAATGCAATAATCATATAATCTCCAACAATGTTAGCGGTGTGAAATGCACTAGGGGATGGATAAGTTTCATCTCGAGAGTGAATATTCCATGTATAAGGGAGAGTTGTGTTTAAAAAGAAAAGCTGGGGATCCGGTGAAATACCATTATCCGTGATTCCTCCATAAATAATAATGCTACTTTTATTTGGTGCTGTTATTTGTAGAATGGCGATGTTAATTTGAATAAATATATATTGAAGAAAGAACAAACAATAAAGACATGTGATGTACGCACTTAAAACCGCCGTATGTCCATAACGGTTTTCGATTATTTCAGAATCGGTGAAATCCACATTCTATGGAAGGTTATGCATACGGTATAACTTAAATCAATTTTATAATTATATAGGAACCGTCAAATATTTCTTACAATATTTGCCCATTGATTTGATGATGTATTGTACGTGATAATCTAGTAAATCAAATCAACTTAGTAATAACTCTTGACAAAAATAAACAATAAATCATTCTTACGTTAGATATTTTGACAGATCGGTAGGAAGAATCGATGCCTCCTATATAAAAAATACTATCATCTAACATTGTTGCACTATAATATGCTCTTCCCATAATTCCGGAAGTTGTATTGACAATCAAATGGTTTTTGGATAAGATAGTATTTATGACAATCATGTTATTAAAAATAGTAATACTAGGTGGAAATGAACCGGATAAAAACTGAGGAACATGATATCCACCAAAAATATAAATTTTTCCTTTAGAGTCAATAACAGCTTGCATGCTGATACGACTTTCGTTCTGGGGAACATAAGGATCATTCCAAGTCAAATTTATTGAGTCAAATATGTAAAGGTTTGCGGGTGCGTCGATACTTTGTATTTTTCCACCATACAAAAATATAGTGGAATTATATGTGACTGCTGTTGCCCATGCAATTTTAATGGTATAATTTAAATCAGTTGTAAGATTGATCGGTGGTTGTGATAGCGACTGACGAGGGTCGGTAGCATCAAGACAGTATATACATTGAGATAGGTCCCCAGAATAAGTATTACCACCGAAAATGAAAAGCTTATCATTAACCAAAACCGATGAATGACCGTAAATCGATGGGTAATCAGCCGAATAAGTGTGATCAGAAAATAAATATATGGTAGTAACAAGTAGTATAAGATTTTGTATGAGCAATTTCATGTTAGCGTTTCTGTCAGAAGGGTGAATTCAAATTCAAATATCAATAAACGTTCGAGAAATACAAAATTTCTCATCTAGTTACACCGAGATGCATTTACATGCACGAATAAGTATTTTCTTATGTACTGTACAGTATCACGAAGATGACTAAAGTTCCAGATACAGTATACTATATAAAGAAGTTGTTTACTTAAGAAGTAAAAAATGGATTAAGAAAAACGTAACGTTATAAATTGTGTCTAACTGCCGTAAATGAGACAAATTATAGCTCTTTTATTTTTTCTTTCAGGGACCATTGGCTTCACTCCGGATCCAAGATATAGTCCAATATCCAATAAAATAGGTAACAGGCTCTATTATGCTAGTGGATACGGTAAATCCACATATCTAAATGATATTTTTTACTTGGATTTGTCTGACACTGAAAACAAGAAATGGGTAGGCTTAGATACAAGTGCGCCAGTTTCTGTCATATATTCTACCTCAATAATTAGCCCGTTAGATCAAACTATGTACTTGATTGGTGGTTTTATGATGAATCCTATTACCTACATACCATATTTTGATACATTTACATATACATTTAATTCTAATAATTCAAAATGGAAAATACCCATTACGAATGGTAACGAACCAAAGGGGTTTCAGGAAATGAACGCTGTGGTGGACAAAGTAGGAAGAGTGTATATCTTTGGTGGATGCAGGATTACCAATTACACCAGTCGTGCTGTTAATTACTATAATACAATGTATATCCTGGACATTAGTTCAGAAACTTGGGAAAATGTACAACAGACCCCGAATTTTCCCAATCCACGGATAGATTATGCTGCCGTAATCTTATCAAATGGTATTATTGTCTATATTGGCGGGGCAGAATACAATAGCAGTGATAAAAGCCTGGCATTAATTGACTTAAAAAAGGTAAGGCATACTTTGATTCATGCCAAGTGTTAAATAATTTCATCGCATAACATAATAGAACTTATAACTCTTTTTATATTTATTAGCTTTATCTTTTTGACACTGATAACCATAATTGGACTCTAATGGTACAGTACATGTTATCAAATATATTTATATACGTAAAGTCATTTGTTTTTATCAATTTACTATTATTGTTATTATCTTCATTTTGTAATTATAGGAAACGACAGGCGATAGATTGGATGCACGTCGATTTCATACTGCTGTATTGAGTATGTATACTTTTTAAATCAATTAAGATCACATTTCATACATTGTCAGCTAGCTCTAACTTATATGTCTTTACAGGTCCAAATGAAGAAATTATCATTTACGGTGGAGAAGATAATGATGGAAGACTAGTCCTTCCAAGTCTTGCTATATTAAAAATTACCACCAAATCATATTATTGGCACATTCCTAATTCGACTGATATGCCAGATTTGACCCGTGTGCCCCCACTATCCAGGCATTCAGCAATAATGCATGAAGGTTACATGATCCTTGCATTTGGTAAATATAATAAGGATATTTTCATTCTTCTAAAGTCACACTGAATTTTCGTTTGATTTTGCATAATTTATTAATTCTTTCCCCCTATTTAAAATTAGGTTTTATTCCAAATAATCAAACCAATATTACAAACCTTAATGTGCAACCACTATATACTGTTTGTGTTTTGTGTAATAATACTGGTCCAAAAGCTACTCCAACTAATTATGCATCTGCTTCACTTAACGACTCAACAAACACGATAATAATATTATCGATTGTTATCGCAGCATGTATTATAATTTGCTTTATTTGTCTTATATGGTTTAAAAATTCAAGATCGTAGTGATTTTATTATCAAAATATAATAATATAAAAACTGTTTGATGCTTGAATGGGCACTTTAATTTTTTTAAAAAAACAAAGAACCATCAAATTCATATGCGACGCGTCGGTAAAGTAACACATAGTAAACTGAGCCTATTGAATATTTCTAAAATAAAACATGATGGTAAAAGTCTGTGGTAAATCGGATACAACTAAAAACACAGCATAATTGGAAAAGTTGGTATTGATCACTTACAAAATTTGATTATTATTTCAAATAAAGTATTATCCGAATTTAATAATGCATTAAAAAAGTTTATGTGTATAAAGTAGAACGGTTTGATCTTCAAAACGATTCGAAATCAATAAGAATAATTACATATTAGTAGTAAAATTTGAAACATTTGCAAAGTACAAAAATATATTAGAATTAAATAATGTATATCGATTATTGGCAAATGCCGTTTATTCACATTATATACAGCATGAGTCAAATATCTTTAAAAAAATTTTGTTTAGAATTAAAATGTAAACAACAAAAAATTCCAAAATAAATAAATACGAATAGAATGTAAAATTGTTTTTATAATAAATACTAAATTCAAATAGAAATTCTTATTTTCAAAATTATAAATAAAAGCACACTATTTGTTAAACCACATTTTTAAAAAAATAATTGATATTATTTTGATATTTATTTAATAAGAATTAAATAATTAACAAATTTTTTTTTGGTTTTTAAATTAATTAACTATTGATTTTTTACTAGTGTAATAGGGAGAAATGGGATGCGACGTTAGTCACATGACCTATCGACATGACAATGGTAAGTCGGCTGTAATAATTAGGTAATAACGAGTGACGAAAGAAATTGACGAGAGAAATTATGTAAGATAGCCTAAGCCCCGTCATTGTACTATAGCTTATTATTCTATACCCAAGCCGCCATAGCCAATTGTAAAGAAAGAGAAGTATAAAAAGAATGTAAATTGTAAAGAGACGAAAGATAGTGAACATAGAAGTGAGAAATTAATAAAGACTCGGTCAAATACAAACACGCCTAAAATCACCCTTTCATTACCCAGTAACGGTTACGCAAATCTCTGCTAGAGTTAGCGACTGACTCGCCGTTACACCGTTACACTAGTATATTAAAAAAAATTTTTTTTGATGAAAGCAACTAAATATTATCACAATAATAAACCAGAACTTAGATTTTAAGAAATTTTATTATATACAATTTAATTTTATTTTAAAGAATTAACTTGATTTTTTATTTAATAATTTAAACTAAAATTTATAAAGTTATATTTATAATTTTATTATGAAAAAAATTTTTTTTGCAAATTAATTTTATCAAATTTTGAGACCTGAGAATCTACAGCACAGTGATTGATACTTCACAGATCAGATCACAAGATACCAATTCTACTCTACAGTGGCGATCATAAGTAATGAAGCAAAAAAAATTTTTTGTTAGTTTACATTATTTTATGCAATTATAGACATTTTCTTTTATTTTTTTTAAAAATTTGTTCGCAAATACTTACTTTTTTTAGTATTGAAGTTTTAATAATTATTATAACTGTTAATACGGATATAATTGTGCATGTGTTGCAAAACATGTGATGCATTACTTTTGCTTGTTTTTGGCAAAGATCAGATACGTGTCGATATCACTATAAAAATATACATATAAAATGTAAATACATTTCTATTTTTGTGTTTTTGTACGATGTTGAATCTT